AAATGATAACTTTATAAACATTGATAATTAGAATCATAAGCTTTCCATGAACATGTAATAATAATTTTATAGAATTACCACTTAATAATAATTTCCAAAAAAAAAGTTTGGTTTGGTGATCATTGGTTTCACATTTTTGTCATAAAATATCAATTATTTCAATTTCTATGGAGATACAGGTGAGAGCAGTAGTAGTAGTAAAATTGTTCCCATAATATTTTATATAATATAATAAGAGATGGAGTTTCATTGAGGGTGGGTGAAAAAATAAATAAAGTAGACAATGAGAGTGGGTGACTACGTGGCAAAAAATGGTGAGAGTGTAAAACATAGTGTGCCTCGGAATTAAAAATCAATAGGTCTAGTTTTCAAAATAAAAAAAAAAAATGTCTTTAATTTCTTACATTTTAAAATTGAGCAATTAAAAGATTTTATATACTTATTCACCATTCAACATTGTTATTTTTTATTTACCTATTTATTATTACAATTTTCTTACATCTTACGCATATAATCATGGGAATTTTTTTTAAGATTCTTAATATTAAAATTTTATAAGATGAAAAATATATAATATTTTCATAATAGTTAAGGTTTCTTAACATTTTTACAAAAAAAATTCGTCTCAGAGAAATTTCACCCTGACTCAAAGAAATTTTAATTCTCACAGAGAAATTTATCTCATTTCACAGATTTCTTTGTGATCATAATAGAGAAATTTTAAAATTTCTCTAAGTTAAGATTGAAATTTTTTGAATCGAATTTTTTCTATGAAAATGTTGAAAGGGCTTAGCTAATAAGGAAAAAAATCTTAGACCTCTCTTCCTATACGAAATTGGAGAGGGATATTTTACTAATTTTTCATATAATCATTTATCAACTTAATTAAAATCAAAATTAAAAATAGCAACTCTCTTCAGTTAGACCAAACAACACTGTAAATACAACACGGCTGCGTATATATGGTTTTTGATTCTCCCCGTGTGTGTGTATGTGGGCAGATAGTGTTCGACGAACATATGGCACGTGAGGATAGCCAGACCCAGCCATGCACACAACCTCCATCACCATCACCTCTCTCTCTCTCTCTCTCTGTCTCTCTCTCTCTCTCGATCTGAATATGGATCGGAATGTAACGTGGCCAGCTGTATAGCAAAAGGAAACATTTGGGTATAAATAAAAAAATTTAAAAAAAGTAGAATTGGGTTCGGTTTGACCGAGGAAGAAATGTGTGAATATCCCTGTATCTCTATTTCTATCCCTCTTCTGGCAATGTCTTTTGATAACTTGCTACTTGCTTAATTGAGGAAATTAATCCCCGGTTACTCGACGGAATCTAAGAGATGAGATTTTGAACTTAAGATCTTGATGGTACCACAACCTAAATTGTAAGTTTTAATCACCAGGCCAATTCAAAACACCTTAAAGTTCTCTCCTGACAATGTCTGACAAATGTATTATGTAAATGTATTTGTGTTGTGTTGGGTGGTGGGTGATGGTGGCAATACTGGCAATATGACATTTGGAAGAGGGGAGGGGGGTCCTGAGTGGGGGGTTGAGGGGTTCATAGTGGTGTTAGCTGGAAACCCTCAGGGGTGTGAGTTGGCATAAGAGCTATCCTCTCTCTCTCTCTCTCTCTCTCTAGTATATTATACTCGACTATAATAACAATGGTGGGGGGAGAGAGGTTGAAATCAAGGCAAAGGGTGAAACCGAGAGGAATTTTTTGGGGGAGTTAGAGCTGGCAAAGCTCGTGGAGACAAAAAGAAATGATGGGCTCACGTCCACCTCAGAGACTTCATGATATATATCATAATAATTGAATTAATTGTAATGCTATGGAAATATAATTTATATACATAAGCATAAATATGATAAATTCGTAGTCGTTTGTTTATTGAAAATCAAAAACTCATTTACTTCTTTTCTTATTTTAATTAAAAATATTACATTCACTTACATTTTTACTAAACACATATATGTCCAAACATCTTAAATATCATTATTTTTTTTTTACAACCAATTATATTTAACTTTTTTATATTTTTAATAAGATTATTAGTATATGTAAAATTATTCTTAAAAAAATTATAAAGAATGACTATTTGAGAACAAAATAATTTATTTTTCAGAATTTTTGGTACAAGACAGACTGCGACGGGGCGGAGCCAGGAACGAAAAATCTTGACATGCTCCGCTTTTCGTTTTGATTGGATTCTTCCAATTTGTGGGCTGTTTGAGTGAGAGACTCTCTCTCTCTCTCTCTCTCTCTCTCTCTCTCTCTCTATGCGTGCGAGAGTGTGTGTGCCAACAAATGATGTGCCCCTCTTGTAATGCTTGTGACTCACGTGCTTCCAACATATACTACCATTCAATCATAAAATGTTAAATAAGAAAATGAACTACATTATCTAACTCATTTCACTAATTAATACATATACATATTATCTAACTCATTTCACTAATTAACACATACATATTATGATAAAATATACTTACATTGTTTGAGATGGCCTAAATAAATACACTTTTTATCTTTTTACGAAAAGATGTGTAGAAAAGTAGAGATGTGATGTGATGTGATGAAAAAAAAATAAAAACATAAAAAGATGGATTATATTGGAGTTGCCAAACTTGATCTAAATGTCAACACGAGTGAACATGAGAGAGAGATCCGCACAAATGCAATTACAAAAATGCTTAGTCCAAAAAAAATATCATCTTACAAATCTACCTAAATTGAAATCAAAGATATAAATATAAACTTCTTGTTGTGAGACAATCATTACAATGAATTATTCTTCAAAAATTCAAGTAAATAACATTTCTTATGCAATTAAACTTTATTCACTTCAGAAGCACGCTATCATTTTTTTGAGGTACACACTTCGGAAGCGCTATTACTAATACTATCAGTGGAAGGTTGGCTTGTACAAAAAAATTTATAGCCTTTTAATTTTTAAATTTTATAATTTTAATATCATTAAATACAAAATGTGTATAATACATTAGAGAATTTACCACTACAGATTTTTTTTATAAGGAGTGAACTCTCACAGTCGCACAATGAAAGTTTTCAAACATCAAGAGAGCACCCAAATAGGTGAAGAAGACTACTAATTTGGGGAGAAAAGTCGTCTTTACGCAAGAATTGACCTTGCACATGTAGTCAACTGGAACAACCCAATTTCTACCAAATTGTTTCCTTAAACTAAACACTCGGTTTGTTTCAAAATGTCTTCAGCAAAAGCATTTTTTTTTTTTTTTTTTTCGATTTTAAAATTGATGTGCTATTATTAATAGTAATGGTAGGGTAATGCCAAATGGTAGCTTGGTGATGATATTTGGGAGACCACCTAATGAAGCCAATGAGCCTTCACCCCCCTTTTTTTTGGCAGTCTTTATAGAACTCTAATTTAAGAGATTGTGAAAAAATGCCAACATGTAAGAGAGCTCCAAAAATAAAATCGCATAAACTACATGAATGACAACCAGTTGTTCAATAATGTTAGGGTGATTAAATTTGAATACAAAATTTCAAATAAACTACATGAATGACAACCAGTTGTTCAATAATGGGTGATTAAATTTGAATACAAGATTTCACTAGGATAAATACTATATATCATCGATTTTGAATCACTGTCTATTGAAAACTAAGGTTATATCAAATACTCCAGTGATATAAAATGATAAAAAAAAGGAAAAATAATGTGATGTAGTGTGTTTGGTAACGTTTACGTTTTCAGTTTATATTTACAAAAATTTTATAAACTGGTTTTTGTTTATTTTTTGTTTATTTTTTGAAAAACATAAACTACAAAGGTGTTTGGTAATTGACAAAATGTTTAAAAAAATTTAAAAATATAAAAAGAGTGAGAAATGACAAGTGGCGGCAAGTGACGGCGGAAGACGGTGGTGGAAAGTGGTGACGGTGGGTGGTGGGTAGCTGGTGGTGGTGGCAGGTGGGTGGTGGTGGTTGGTGGGTGGGTGACGGTGGCGGGTGGTGGGTGGTAGTGAGTGAGAGGTGGTGGTGGCGGGTGGTGGGTGGCGGATGGCGGGTGGTGGTGGTGGATGGGTGGGTGACGGTGAATTACTTACACTTCTTTCCTGTATGGTTGTTGTCATAAACCTAAAATCGTTCATTAACAATATTCGTAATTACTTGCACTTCCTCCCTATCTGGTTGTTCCAACAACATTGGAGCATGCGGATAACCTAGTTTAGGAATACACCAAACTCATTAATGAGTGTGACTATGAACTACTTTACATCACGTTCTCTTATTATCGGAAGACATTGCTCGCTAGCTAAACGAACACCGGCTGAAACAAATACTTGATTGCATATAATTAACTGTTCTCTATGTAGCGCTACTTGATTACATGCCATCCAAAATGCATAAGAAGATCATGTTCAACTATTAACTCGTCCCTTGATGGTTGATCTTCCTCAACATGTGGCCTAAATATCTCAATTCTTTGAACATTTGCTACATTTTGGATATCTAATCACGGAGTTGCATTTGGGAACAACATTACATTCAACGGGTAGGTTCGCGTTCCTATCCAACCAAACTCGTCTATCAACCTAGCAATGGTTTATACATCATCCTCTGTGACAATTGAGATTTTTGACTTTTGAACAAGTCGTCTACCTAAGTTATGGAGCAACCTTGTCCCATGTCTTAGTAATAAGTTTGAATTTAACCACAAACAATGTGTGGCGGAATGTTTCGATTCTCTACAAAGACGGTGGTGGAAAATGGTAGCGGGTGGTGGCTAGTGTTGGGTGGTAAAAAAAAAAAAAACTGAAAACTAAAAATGGAAACCCATTTTTTGTGTTTTCATTTTTTGGCCAAATTTATAAACTGAGACCACTGATTTATAAATCAAAAATTTTACCAAACAAGTTTTTATTTGAGTTTTTAAAATTTTTATAAATATAAACAGAAAACTGAAAACGTAAGTGTTACCAAACGGCACCATAGTAATCCTCTTTTGAATACATCCGATGTGATCACCAATGCATTACAATACATAAAAAAACAAGTGTGAAATCAAAATTTAATACTCAAATTTAATCACCAAAACATGTTGCACTGGTACAAGTAAATAATCAATCTATATACAACAGTATAGGCCAAACAAGGTTAACTGGGCTGCCACCAGCCCCACCAAAATGAATTGGTTAACATTTTAACTTGACCCTAAAGCTTAGCTCCAATAGTTTGTGGTCTAGCCCAATGAGTCTTTGTTGCCCTAATTAAGCCCAATCAATTTATGATCCTCTTCTTCACACTAAGCTTTTCTTTCACAAAGCCTCATCAACATCACAAACCAAAAAATTTGAATCCACAATGTCTTGGTCCGAATTCCAAAAAAAAAATAAAAAATAGGGGCTTGCTTCTAGGATTTTTAGTAGTTCCCCCACCATCGTCTCCTTTCATGATTGATTAGTGCAAGAAAAATGATTTTGATCAATATTGATTAAGACATAAAATTTTTCAGAATGAATGAGATTACTAGTGTTGAACAGCATTTATACCATAAAATGATGATATTCAAAATCACCAATATTAATCATATGTATTCAAAATTTGATTAAGCTATCTTTATATATAAAATGATTTATATTCGTTTCTATTGACCAATATTAATACCATCTATATAAAATGATGCTACTAGTGTTGAATAGTAAGGAGTCAGTGAAGCAGCACCTGGATCTCCCTACTTTGTGCATTGAATGGGAGAAACAATTTGACGCTGTCGTCGTGCCTGCAAATTTCAGATCAGCTGCCAAATAGGTAAAAATGATGAGGAAGTTATTAAATCTCACTAACCGCGAATAAACTCGAATTGGAAATAAGAAATCACAGATAAATCAATAATGTCCCCTTTTCTTTGCTGATCAACAAAAAAAAAAGAAATCACAGATAAATATAATCAACACATCTAACGAATTGTGATCTGAATGCCTATAAGGCAGTCCCGTAATGGTCACACATGTTTAAACAGGTTCTTCAGCAAAACTCGACATAATTTCTTATCTTTGTAGTGAGACTAGCAGCACAAACAATTAGAAGTTCAGCAGTTTCATTTTTCATCTCTTCATTTTGTATTAGAATAAATGACATGAAAGTCAGAAAAATGAAATGACAGACAGTATAGCAGGAATCGCGATGGAACAGTGGGCACCAAACATCTATTTGGCATCGAATGAAAGGTAAAGTGAGATTTTTTTATTAAACAAATGGAAGATAAGGTAACAATGAATACAAATCAAATGGACTACGAAACATCAATAAAACTAGAGCATTATGCATGAATTCACTTCGTTCCCCTATTAACAGTATAACATTTAAATTTTTTGAACCTTAATTTATTTTCCTTTGGAATAGGATGTCAAATAGGATCACAACAAATCCAGCCAACAACTTCCTTCTCATATGATGGAGACAATGCACAATTTTTTTTTCAAAGCAAGTGCATGCATGGAGTTGCCTCATGCATTAGTAGTAGTATCTTGATTAGCAGTAAAATGGGAAAAATTAGTAGTTCAACAGTTTCTTTTCTCTTCTATAGATTTTGTATTTTGCTACATGACATGAATAGTTGAAGAAATGTATTTTCCGATGTAACTAAAAAAGAAAAGTTGAAGAAATGAAATGGTAAACAGTGGTAATAATCATGAAACAGTGGCACCAAATATTTATAAGGCATCAAATAATAGGAAAGGTAACGTGAGATAGAAAATGGAAGAAAAAGTAACAACAATGAATACCAATCAAATGTCATCACTGTGATCCCTCAATAAAACTAGGGCATTACACATGCTATTTAAGGTAATTAACTTTGTCCCCCCTATTTATGTTGTGTTTGGTTAGGGGATTTGAGGAGGGATTTGGAAAGAAAAAGAGAAAAGTTAGGTAAAATGTAAATAAAATATACCTACATTTCACCTAGTTTCACACATCTTTTCCTTTTCTCTTTCCAAATCTCTCCCCAAATACTCCAACCAACCAAACATAGCGTTAGAGTATTACATTCGGACATTTATTTGTTTCCACTTGGAATGGGTTATCAAATAGGATCACAACAAATCTAGCCAACTAATTTCTTTTCATATAATGGTGAGCTAAGACACATGGACATAGACACGGACACGCACTTTAGACATGAAAATTTTCAAAATGTAAGATATGGACACATCAAGGATATGACTGGCGGGGATCTATTTGCCTCAGCTGCTGCAATGGTGGTCAACTGTGTTCCTCATCTACGGGATAGTATGAAGCACACCATGTGTCTTTGTCATGATCTAAAATTAATCTTCTTGTGGAGATGTCTCTATGTAAGACTGGTCAAGGTACATGCCCCTCGGAGGAGAATGGGCCAAGCCACCTTGACAAACCATCAACTCTACCCACCAAGTCACAACCCAAGTGATCCTCTGCAAGGATCATGACATCAACGAAGACTCCTCATGACCAAGTCACCAACCCCGAGAGGAGAATGGGCCAAGCCACCTTGACAAACCATCAACTCTACCCACCAAGTCACAAAATCCTAGTGATCCTCTGCAAAGATCATGACATAACTGAAGACTCCTCATGACCAAGTCACCAACCCCGAGAGGATTCCTAGACTTGTTCTCACTTAGCGTAGTCTAGGACGATCAGGGTTCCTTTAGAGAATCTAGTGTAGATCATAGAATAAGTACAAGGTCCGAGTGTATTGATGCAAGTGCATTGGTGCAAGTCAAGATGAGGCATTGTTCATGTGGAGAGTTTGCTCAAGCGAGTAAGAGAGGACCAAGTGTGGCTAGATGCTCCTTGGAGATTGCCTCTTGAACACCTTGGTTAGAGTCTAGGGCACCCGTTTGTTTGTCTTGGCTAGTAGAGCTCTATTGTGGAGAATAATATAAAAAAATAAAATAAAAAAGAGAATTTCCATTGGTCTACATGTCACCTCACGAGGCTGACAAGTGGAACTAAGGCCTTAGGAGATGATACAGCATCGGTCAAATGTGGCATGTCATGTGGGCATGAGGGCCCACGTATCTACAGTCTGCATTGTGACAACATTTTAGCTTCAGGTACCAAGCTGTGCAAGAGGCAAAAAGGGCTGATTAAGATCAAACAGACCACATACTGATGTAACATGGTAGTGTAAGCTTTAGCTAGTTAAATCATAAGGATGGACAAAACATTGGGGTTTCAATCAGTGTTTTTAGTATGTAAGCATTTTGGTTTTGAATTTACAAATAGTAAAAAAAAGAATCTCAATTTGGTTCCGGTTTTAATAATTTAAAAACAAACTAAACCAAAACTGTCCAAAACATCATAAAAATGGCTTGCAATTATCTCCCACACCTAATCCAAACTCTAATAACCTTAATCCTAATCCCAATCTCCTTTTTTCCTTTATGCTCTTTTGATCTCTCTCTCTCTCTGCAATGTCAATGCAACAAGATCACGACAGCTTCCATCCTTACATAACTTACCTCTCTCTCTTTCTCATGTGGCAGAGGACATCTTTGATCTCAGGTTTGATTCAGTTCAGTCTTTGAAATTAGATGACCCTCTCTCTCTCTCTCTATATATATATATATATGTGTGTGTGTGTGTGTGTGTATGGAAAGGGTACGTGACTATCTATCTGATTTTTATTTTTTATTTTCACTATTTATGGTTAAGATTGGACCCTCTCGCGCACGCTCTCTCAGATATGTGCATGTATCAGTCCATCAGACATTGATTTGAAAACAATAAACAGGAAAAAGAAAAAGGTGCAGAAATGTCTACAATATTGAAAAATTAACAAAGTCTATAAATGAATAATATGGAACAAAGAAAATAGAAAGAAGTATACATCATATTCTTGAGATGCAAGGGCACAAAATTTGCACAAGACATTCTTACTCAATTAGGCAATTTAGAATGGACTTCCTAGCCATTCAGCACAAATACAAGATACAGGTATTAGCCCAAAATCAAATGCAGGGATCAAACTTGTATGTGAGAATCAAAATTCAATGTTGCCACACAAGCAGTCCAACAAAGAACTTCAGTTCTGACTTGTCAGAAGTATTTGTGGTAAAAATTATCAATTTGAAGTTCTGTAAGCCCAAAGTGTAACAACTTGTTTATGAGTTCCACAAGTAAGAGGCTCTAACGCATATTGTGAATAAAGACACTACATTCACTAAAATTCAAATTTTTAAGCCGTAAAATTGAAATCAAAATTTTTCGTTATATCCAGTAAAAGGGTAGAGGCAAAAACATATTAGAAAAGGAGTCCTTCCCAATTTGATCCCTTTAGCAGCATTCTAGTATTTACCTTCTCAATTTCCCAAACCTTTGCTACTCTAATAAGTAATTTGTGGGCCAGTGGATAATGAGAAAGTTCAAAGCAGGCAATTTAACATGAAGTTAGAGGGCCCACTATGAAGAGGTTCCCTGATTATTTTCTTTACTGTTTAAGTGGGGAGGACTGGAAATGCGTGAAATGGTAATGTAAAATGTGACTTTCCATGGGTATCCAAAAATCTCCACATAATTGCTCCACTTCTAAGTTGATGCTCACTTAGCAAGAATTACATTTGGATTAGACTAATAACACACACACACAGAGACTTACTTGGAATTCACACTTGGGAATTCAAATAGTTCATGCCTTGTGTGAAGGACTGTTGATGAGCAAACTGCCAAATTTATCCACCACAGGTGCAAACAGAAGACAACAAAATGAAATTGTTATTTGAAGTTCATTCCACCGGATCAAAATGACACTTACATTTAAACTTACACACTCATGTGGCACAATAAAAAAGAGGCTATTTGCTGCTTTACCAGTGCATTTGGATCAATCTGAGCACCAACTATATCCCTTTCAGAGGATCGATCACCTCCCCTAGCAGATCCCTTCGTGTCACCCTGTCAAAAAATTACGACTTATTGCCTGCATCAGTAATGAACAAAATAAGGAACAACAGTAATTCCGGGAAGAAATTGGCTCAAATACCTCCAACTGAGAAACCCCAATTATTCCGCAATATCAACCGGGCAAAATAGAAAAGGAAAAAAAAATGGTCTCAGTCTAAAATCATAATGATTATGCAAAGTAACAGAAAATCAGATAAGAATAAAAGCTAATCCTTGGTTCCATTGCAGAGAAAATTAAACAAACAAAACCTCCAGCCAACAGTGGCTATTACAATAAATGGCTTCAGAGAATTGAGTTCTTAAAATGTTTAGAAATCGTGATTCTGAACATACGCAGAACCAATACAAAATCAAAGATAGAGAAAATTATACCTCCCGGTACCTAGTTAGGTACACTTTAAGCGAAGCAATGTAATCTTCAAACCCTAAAGTAGCCATTGCACAAAGCAAATCATCACCATTGATCGTCTTCCTCTTCTCTTTCTGACACTTATCACTCGCCCTATTTGACAAAAACCTCAAATCACATTTCACAAAACACAATCCTAAAGCATAATATAGCAAATACATAAACGTGAATAGATAGATATATAGGATCGAGTACTCGTTGGTGATAAAGCTGATGAACTCGGAGACGCATTCCTGAACGGTGTCCTTGGCATCCTTAGCGATCTTGCCGTTGGAAGGCAACGCCTTCTTCATGATCCGACTGATGTTGGCGATGGGGAGGTAGCGGTCCTGATTGCGGACGTCGGAGTGAGGGCTCTGAACGCCGGCCGGACTCGCCGGAGCATCCGCCATTGTCGACGGAACCCTAGTTTGAGACAGAATTGATAGCAGAACATCATGACTTCGAGGTAAAGGAGAAAAACTTTACACCCTAGCAAAAGAGGAAGAGAGAGAACAAGAAAAAGAGAATGGTGTGGTTACCTCTGGTATGGCGAGACAGGAGAGAGAGAGAGAGAGAGAGAGAGATTTGTATTTGGCGCGAGTTTTGAGAGAAGATCGAATGATTGGTTGATTGATGAATTGTTATTTTGGCGATGGAGATAGAGAAGGATCGAACGATTGAGAAGTGAGAAGAGCGATCTGATGAGAGTTTTAGGCAATGGTTCGCATGTTCTAAAAAAAAATTAAAAAGTTATTATTTTATTTAAATTTTATTATTTATTTAAATCATATTATCTCTTTAATATATCATTTTAAATTTAATTTATATTTTATGAAAATCAAAAAAATATACTTATTTAGATCATCTCAAATTACTTCTTAACTTCGTTTGAAAAATAAATTATTTTAATAATATTTTAAATTTTTATAAAAAAATAAAAAAAATGATACGATAATTTGAAATAATTTTTTAATTTTTTAATTAAAATATTTAGGATATGTTTGGCTTGGTTTTGCAGAGTGATTTTGAAATTTTTTTTCTAAAAAACTTGTTTGGTTTGTAATTTTTCTAAAACAATTTCCAAAATCACTCTCTCTCTTACACATCAATCAATCACTTTTCTCTTTTCTTTCTCATTTTCAATCACTTTTTCTCTCACACACATCTACTCAATTACAACAAAATATCAAAATATTCTAAACTTTCAAACTCCAAGACTACTTTCAGAGCATCTCCAACGGTGTACCAAATGTTTCACTAAATCTGAGTCAAAAAGGGGTCATTTCCTTAATTTGATACTTCGCGCTCCAACGGTTCAACATCAAATCCGTTTCATCAAATTTGCGCTGGGCAACCGGTTGGTTGACCGGCCGGTCAACCGGTAACGGCAAAAATTTTTTTATTTTTATTTTTATTTTTTACCGGTTTGAACTTTTTTTTTGAACTTTTTAAACTTTTGGTGGTCGACCGCCTAGGCAAATTTTTTTTTTTTTTTTTTTAACTGGTTTGAACCTTTTTGTGAACGGTCTGAACTTTCTCCGGGGCGACCGGTTGGTTAACCGGATGGTCGACCCGTTCGTCTCATACCAACGGTCAGGAACAGTGATTTGGTGAAATGCTTCGCCTGCACTCAGTTTGGTACCATTTTTGTTGAATTCCGGATTTGATATCGATTTGGTGAAACCGTTGGAGCTTAAAAAAGTGACTTTTTCACCAAATTTTAAATTTGATGCCAGGTTTGGTTCACCGTTAGAGATGGTCTCAAAATACACAACCAAACAAACAAAAAAAATTTCTAAACTCTCTTCTTAAAACAATTTTTAAAAACTACTATCTCAAAACCAAACCAAACATACCCTTAATCTTCAAACGATGAGTTCTTTGGGTTTGGTATGAATAATCTGCACCGCTCGTTGTCATTATTAACAGAGGTTTTTTTTCTTTTTTTGAATATTGTAGAAAATAAAATCATTTATGAAAATAACTTATTTTTTAAATTATTTATCAAATTGCAATTTGAACCTATAATTTCAGCTTGAAATTGGATTTTCAACTTGAGATTTTATATTGACATGTCCATCTTCCCTTAGTCAAATATGAAATTGCAAGTCAAAATTCCGATTTCATAAAAGTCATAGTTTGATAAATGATTTGAAATTCTGATTTCATAAATTTGATAAATAATTTGAAAATTGACTTATTTTCATAAATAGTTTCATTTTTTAGAATATTTAGAAGGAAAAAAAAGTCATTGTTCAAGAGTTTTTTTTAATTATTAATTCTTAACATATTTTTGGCCACAACAAACTTTAATTTTTTTTAAAATGTTGCTAAAATAAGATTTTTGAAATATGAATCTCCAGTTAATTTATATCTCTTTTTGATTTATTCTATGACTTAGGGGGTGTTTGTTTTAGCTTTTCAGAGCTAACTTATGGCTTTTAACTTTGAAAAAGTTATTTTGGACTATTTGGTTAAACTTATTTCAAACAGTTTCTGATTCTAACAGTTTATTTTAACTCAAAAAAGCTGATTCTGAGAAGCTGTTCACCCTTTGCTTCTGATTATCAGCTTCTGCTGTCGACATGTTAATTTTTGGTTCTACTCTTAAATTTTTTTTTATTTTTATTTTTTTAAAAATAGAAAAAGACCCAAATAGACTATAGATTATTATTTTTTATGAGAAATGTAGACAAACAAAAAATAAAAATTAATTGAAAAAACTATTTCACAGCTTATTTAACAAACACTACTCAGCAACTTAAATCTATAATCCAACATGTACACCAAACAGATTAACAACTTCTCATTCAAGTCATAATCTATAATCTGTTAAGTTATAATCTATAAGCTGTTTTAACAGCTACACCAAACGGGGCCTTAGTGTATTTAAAAAAAAATCCACTATTAATTGATGGGTTTTTAAAAGAGAACTAACATATTTTATGGCAAAATTTTTTTTACAAAAAAAAAAAAATGCAAAATGCAAAATGCAAAATACAAAATACAAAATACAAAATACAAAATTGTTTCAAGTTTCTTAGCAAATAATATTAACAGTAAAAAAAAAGAAAAGGAAAAGGTATACATTTATTTGTTTAGATTTTTTTTTGAAGGTATTTTAATTGTTTAATTTGAACACACTTTTAATGAGTGTACGAGAAAGAATCATGGTGTGTAAAAAACAAAGAAGGCATGTGGCTTCTTGTTGACCCCCCAGTGTTACTTAAATGGCACACCAGTCTCGTGACAAACTGTATATTCGTACCAAAAACAGGCACAGATTTTTCATGAGAGTGTTCATACATAATTTTTTTTTTAAATTTTAATTTAGGTAACAAATTAAATTTAAATTTTAAGAACTTTTTAAGATAAGATAATTTTTTTAAAATTTGTATTTTTCATTTCTTTTTTTTAATAGTAAAAGAAATATACAAAATTTGATCACAAAGTTCTAAACAGAGAGCTCTATATAATGTGTGTATATAAAAGAATGTGTTCCAGATTTCTTGCACTTGGAAAAAGTGAAAATCAAAATGACAATAAAAAACATTATCCGTAAAACATTTCCTACTAGCAAACCAAAACTGGATTTAAAGAAACAAAATTACACAAATTATCATCACAACAAACAACAAATTATTATTGGAATTATAAATAGATCTCTTGTAACCACAACAACTCACTAATGGATCTCAAGTAGTACACACTAGTTCTTGGAACCAAAACACACACTTGACTCTCTCTCTCTCTCTCCGAATTAGGGTTTTGGGGCCGCAGCAACTGGAGATGTAGGTTGATGGGATGGAGACTTGGGGTTCTTCTTCACATACTTGCGAGCCCAAACATGCTTCCCATTAATGGAGAATTTGGCTTTGCGTTGTCCTTCAAGCACCACATTAATCACTGAGGCTGAATGAACCAAGCCTTGCATACAGTACTTGCCCTTCAGCAGGAACTTCTTGCATGTGTATGGCTTCGATGATTTCTCCAAATTTCCTGTTTACCATTCAGGATGTGTAGAAGAGGAGTGACTTGATACTCATTTATTTAAAGTTGTTTTGGGTTGACTTTTTGTTTTGACTTTTTGTTTTAACCAATTTTATGTTATCTAAAAAAGTTGGACTTGTTTCAAAAGTAGAAACAAAACAACAGTTTTTGTGAAAAACCTAAAAAAGTTGGATTTTTAGTGAAATTTGGTTTTATAGCATATTTCTTTTCTTTTGTAATTTTTTTTTCAAATTATAATAAAATAAAATTTTAAAAATAGACAAAACTAAATCATTTTTCCTAAAAAATTTGGGTTATATTTAGTGAACTATTTTTCAATTTTTTTAAATTTTTTGAAATCATCTAGTCGTGACAGATTTTAAAAAATCCTTAAAAACAAAAACAAAATGGATAAACTACTAATAAGTCCTAATAATTGATTTAATGTTCATAAAATCCTATTGAAAATAAGTTCTAATAAAATCGTAATTAAAAATATTTTTTGTAACCATTTTTTGCATATGTTGTTTAAAATTGATAATTAGTGATTTTTTATTGTTACGATTTTTATAAATTGTCGCTAAAACTTACAATTTATGACATTTTTCTATGACAAAATTTTCAAACTATTGCTGAAAATTAAAAATTAGTAACTTTCTTTGTGACGATTTTTTTCAAACTGTTGCTAACATTTACAATTAGTGATATTTTTTTGTAACAAAATTTTCATATTATCGCCGAAAATTAACAAGTAGTGACACTTTTTAATAGTAATTGATGAAAATGGCCATTAATTCTCACAAGATCTAATGGACATAAGTCCCCAAGTAAAATAAGTTGAAAAAAGACGAAGCCAGTTTATACATAGATCTTCCATGGAGAGAGAGAGAGAGAGTACCTTGTGAAGAAGTCTCTGACTTCAGTTTCAGATGTGGGGTACCCTTTAGAGAAAGTCAAGAAGATAGTTCTATCATCGGGAGGAACTTCCTTCTCTTCCTCATTGACAAGAATGCTAATTCTTCCAAACAACTCTCTCAGTTCATTATTCAAAATCTGTCCTTGGTTTGTCTGATCATAACTATCATAACCACCGTGCACACTCGCTCCACTCCCTATCTGATTAGGGTTTCCTTCAATTTTCTCCGATCCAACGCCGCCACAATTAACCACCACCGGTAGTGCAACATTGCTTGTTCCACTTCCAAATCTACCATGATGATAGAATGGAACACTAAAAAAAGAGTTGTTCCTAAAAGCCGATCTCATTATCTCGTCAAATGCTCTGATACAGACTTCGTTCACGATCTTCGTCACCCCACGAAGAACCCAAATCCGGTTTTCGTGAAAGTACCGGAGATTTATCTCTCTCCCCAACAAGTTTTGCATCAAAGGAATATCATTTTCTTTTCCATCAAACACAAACCTATCACCCTCGGTGCATTTCAAGCACTTGGCTGTCTCATCCGCTAGCGAGTTGATCAGTGAACCAGGTAGAGATAAGATTTTGTTTACCAAATGGCGGTTATAGCTGCCTCGCTCTAGTAAGAGCCAGAGTGCCATGACTTGCATGGACTCTGCAGGGTCTCGATCGAGGCCCAGGACTAGCCTGGAGTAGAGGATGCGGTCGATGGAGTGAAAGTCATTGAACTGTTCGTCAGTAATCGGTGGGCAAGAAGATGGAGAAGTGAGAGAGAAAGATGAAGA